CCGAGCCTCACGGACCCAAGATGGCGGCCCCTCGGCTTCCTCCGCGGCCTCCGGCTGCCGGAAGCGACGACAGCGCTGCCGCCTGGGGCTCCCGCCAATCAGCGCGGCCTGAGAACGTGGGCCGGGCCGCTGTTGCTAGGGGCGACTCCGTCCTGTCCGCGCAGAGGGGGCGGTGCCGGGTACCCGGCAGGCTGGCTGGGTCTCCGCTTACTCTCAGGGCAGTCAGCTCCCAGCGTCCGGAGCGTGCGGACACCACCGAAAGAACTAGGAAACGGCACTGGGCGGCTACCTGAGCCCGACAGCTGAGTTGGCGTTTACAGATTACAGATCGGGGTTGACTGGATTACAGATCGAACGCCTACTGTGTGCAAAAGTTGAGGTCGCATCCCCAGGACGGCGCTACACGGAATGGAGCCTCAGCAGCAATTATAGGGCCGGGAAGGAGCCGCGCTCCTGCATCCTTAACTGTGACCCTGGCGTGGAGGATTTGGTCACCAAAGCTTCCCGCCTCCGGCTCTGGGCAGCCGCGGAGGGGCGCGGATCCCGAGGGCAGCAGGCGCCTCTTGCTTTCAAGGAGCTGGCGGTCAGGAGGGTGACAAACCTGGACCCAGCTAGGTGGGGAAAGGTGCACCCGTAGGGACCCCCAGGGACCAGTTCCTAAATACCTGTAGGGAATTTTAACCAGGCTTTGCTTATAGCCAGCGTGTAACTGCTGGAGGGCTGAAAGCATCCCTGGGTGCCAACCTGAAGCCGAGCTCGGTAGACGACGCCTGCAGGCTGGAACAATGGAAATGCTACCTACCCTGAAGCCTTCTCTGCCTCCTCACCTCTTCAGTGCCTCTACTGAGCGCCTGGCCAGCGGTGGGTGAAATCCACCGGTGCAGGGTTCTGAGAAGGGAGAGCAGTGTGGCAGAGAGCAACATGAACTGTTACTGAGAGTCTACCTTGTGGGTACATTACATTTGTTAGCTCATTTAACCTCAGGCAGACACACCAGGGGATTTGAAGTCTAGGCAGTCCACAGTGACTTGGCCAAAGTATCCAGGTTGGTTAACAACAGGGCTGGGATTTGAAGCCAGTTTCTAAAGCTTTGATAATCTTAGTCTGTCTTTGGGACCCAATCCTCCCCCGCCATCCCAACCGTCTTTCTTATGTCAGAAATATTTCCTGCTCCATGAAAAATAACATCTTTTTAAACATCGGAATCACTCCCAGAGCAGCCAGATGCTCCCAAGGTAAAAACACCTAAGGAGTAAGATGTCATCAGGGCTCCCATCTCACCTTAGACAGGAGTGCTCAAGGGGCTAAGGTGGCCCTATTTAACATGTTAAGCCTGTATAGTGGTGCAGGTCTACAGTCCCAGATTCTTGGAAAGCTGAGGAGGGAGGATCTCTTGAATCTCAGGGTTTGAGGCTGCAGTGAGCAGCTAAAATGTGAAAGCAATCCAAGCGCCCATTGACAGATGAATGGGTAAACAAAAAGTGGTAAGTCCATGCAATGGAATATTATTCAGCCTTTAAAAGGAAATTCTAACACATGCTACAACATGGATGAACTTTGAGGACATTATGCTGAGTGAACTAAGCCAGACACAAAAGGAAAATTTCTGTGTGATCCCACTTATATGAGATACCTAGGGTAGTGAAATTTGTAGAGATAGAAAGTAGAATGGCCTGGTGTGGTGGCTCAAGCCTGTAATCCCAGCACTTTGGGAGGAGGAGGTGAGAGGATTGCCTAGGCCGGCGGGTTCGAGACCAGCCTGAGTAACATGGAGACATCGTCTCTACAATAAATCAAAAAATTAGCCAGGCATGGTGGCACATGCCTGTGGTTCCAGCTACTAGGAAGGCTGAGGCGGAAGGATCGCCTGAGCCCAGCAGCAGGTCGAGGCTGTAGTGGCTGTGAATGTGCCACTGCACTCCAGCCTAGGTGACAGAGTGAGACTCCGACTCAAAAAAAAAAAAGAAAGTAAATGGTGTGGTTGCCAGGGACCGGGGGTGGGGGAGAAAGGAATTGAGAGTTCTTGTTTAATGGATAGAGATGCAGTTTGGGAAGATGAAAGACTTTTGGAGATGGATGGTACAACAATGTGAATGTCTTTAATGCCACTGAACTGTACCCTTAAAAATGATTAAGACTGGCCGGGCTCGCTGGCTCAGCCTGTAATCCTAGCACTTTGGGAAGACAAGACAAGTGGATTTCCTGAGTCCATGGGTTCAAGACCAACCCAGGCAACTTGGTGAGACCTCATTTCTACAATAAATCAAAAATTAGTCGGGCACGGTAGTGTGCACAAGTAGTTCTGGCTACTTGGAAGGCTAAGGTGGAAGGATCGCTGGAGCCCAGCTGGACGATGGAGTAAGACTTCAACTCAAAAAAAAAATGGTTAAGACTGTAAATTATGTGTTTTAAAATAAATTAAAAGATGAAGTGATTTGTCTGCAGTTGCACAGCTGGTTAGCAGCAGAGCCAGAATAGGGGCTCCGATCTTCTCAACTTCAACCCCAGCCCCAGCTGTGTCTTTGCGCCATAGTTAGTGTGGGCACGTGGATGGGGAGACCCACTTTAGCACCCCACCACAAGAAAGAAAGAATCTGGGTCCCCAATAACATCTTTGAGGACCTGCACTAGCCATGAGACTACTGTCCCTAGACTTTTTTTTTTTTTCTTTTTTTTGAGTTGGAGTCTAACTCTGTCACCCTGGAGTGCAGTGGTATGCTCATGGCTACCGCAAGCCTCAACCTCCTGGGCTCAGGCAATCCTTCCGCCTCAGCCTTCCTAGTAGCTGGAACTACAGGCACATCCTACCACACCCAACTAATTTTTTTGTTTACTGTAGAGATAAGATCTCACCAAGTTGCCCAGGCTGGTCTCAAACCCCTAGGTTCAGGCAGTCCTTTTGCCTGTGCCTCCTAAAATGCTGGGATTACAGGCATGAGCCACTCTGTCTGGCTGCTCCAGACTTCTTATGCAAGAAAAATATGCACCCAGCCAGGCTCGGTAGCTCAGCCTATAATCCCACGACTTTGGGAGGCTGAGGTGAGTGGATTGCCTGAGCCCGCGGGTTCGAGACCCACCTGGGCAGCGAGACCTCATCTCTACAATAAATCAAAAAATCAGCCGGGCATGGTAGCGCATGCCAGTAATTCCGGCTACTTGGAAGGCTAAGGCGGAAGGATCGTCGGAGCCCAGCAGGTCGAGGCTGCGGTGGCCGGGAGCGGCCACTGCACTCCAGTCTGGGAAACAGGGTGAGACTCCAACTCAAAAAAAAAAAAAAAAATGAGCCCACTTGTTGGAGCAGTTGAGTTGTGCATTACTTGCAGCCCAGTGCATTGCTAGCCATACTATCATGTTGAGTGTCAGATCTTCTAACCCATAGGTCTGTGGTTTCTGCACTACATCTACATTGGATAGGGTTGGAAAGACTGCTACAAGCTTATCACCACAAACACAACTCTTCCACCAGAGAGTGTTAGAACTGCTGGGACCCAGAAGTCATTCTCCCGTGTGTGTGTGTGTGTGTGTGTGTGTGTGTGTGTGTGTGTGTGTGTGTGTGTGTGTGTGTGTGTTGCGTAACTAATAGGGAGCAGACCAAGAGCTGAGCTCTGAGAATATATAAAGCTGCAGTGAAGAAAAGCAGAGGGTGACAATTATGGAGTATCTGGGGTCTTCGTGACTGGAAGCAGGGGAAAGAGGAGGGGATAGGTAGTAGGTGTGGTCCCTGGGACACCCCAGGTAGGCCCTAAATACTTGGGGGCTTTGCAAATGTGAAACTCATCCCAGACTCTACCCCCAGGCTGTTGCCTACCATATTGGGGATGAGAACAGGCATGCTGCTATTCTCTCTTTTTTTATTTAATTTTTTGTAGAGACCTTGTCTCATTGTGTTGCCCAGGCTGGTCTCAAACTCAGCCTCAAGGGATCCTCCTGCTATTCATTTAATGCACACTCCAGTCCCCTTCATTACCCCAGTGGGGCACTATTGCCCTCTGTGAGCCCAGAAGGCACCTCAGGAATCCTCACTTCTAAGATGTTGTTCCTGCCATTCTCCCTCCGGGAAAAACTTCTAGAAGCCTCCCTATTGTTATGTATCCCTGTCTCACATCTTTCATGAAGCCTTTTCAGACCAGGAGCCAGGGAGCACACCTCCAACTTGGCTTTACTACCTGAGGTCACAGTATATTGAACTCCAGCTGTGTACCTGGTACAAGGCACCTATCCTAAAACTCTGACTCTCCAACAGCCTGTGAGGGAGATGTCAATGGGAGTGTTAGAGGTGAGAGACAGGCTCAGGGAGAGACTATAATGTATCCAAAGTCATTAGAAAGCAAAGGAAGAGCCTCAATTGGACTCCAAGGCCTAAACTTGTCTTCCAGGCGTCTAACAGTAATCAATCCCTTTTGTTCTGGATAAACATGGAGGCTTCTAGGCATGAGT